TTGTACATGAAAGAGGGAAATGCTGCACAAATGGAAACAGATGAGGTCAGTCAGATAAATGTTGGAAGGAGCATGCTTTTGTTAAGAAAAGGCACCCAGTACTCTAGGTTTTTTGGCAACCTGTGACTGTTGAGGCAGAGCAACTATAATGCAGGTCAAGTAGACTATACACAAGCCTGCTGTGATGCTACACTATAGCATTTTTACTCTTCGAGTAGCAACATACACATTAATTATTTGGATATCCTCCTTCTTCCCCTTTTTAAATTACACTTGTAAAAAATACATTCTTAAATGAGGCCTGGGCTGGTAAGAAGAGTGAATCCTTCTCTCGGGATCCTGGTTTCTATTCTTATATTGTTCCAGAACCAGTTCATGATCCCCAAACTTTAGTGCTGAAATTGAGGTGTTTGACAACTGAAAAATACAAATCTTTCTCTCTCTTTTCTTTGTCTACTTAACAGGAATACCACAAGGTATAAAAACAAGGTTAAAGCATCTGCAGGTTCTTCCAGGGAAAGCGCTATGTAGTCCTGCTGTCACATCCTATGCACACAAAATCATTTGCCTTTTCTTTTCCTTTCCATCTCCCTCTCCAGTGGACCGTGAATTGCTCACCGTGTGACATTCCTGACTGCTCTCCCATATTTCCAGGACACTGTTCCTGTGCTGGCAGCATCACAGCCACTCAGAATTAGAGTAAGCAGTAACAGCCTGATGCAAAACACCCTGTTCTCAAAAGCTAAAGCTGGAGATGCCTGCTTCTTGCAGGAGGTTGGGAGCAGTCTGGGGCAGAAACACAGCTCAGCAAAGCTACCTCTGCAGCTCACGCTCCTGTGCTTGTGCCTGTATAGCCAAGGACTTGCTGCTCACTAGTGCTAGCCCAACAGTGAGGCAGAAGCTCAGGCAGGAAAGGACTTTGAATGGTCTGGTACTCCCATCCCTTACTCAAGGCCAGGGCAACTCGAGCTAGAGCTCGTGGCTGTGTCGAGTTCTGAATATCTGAATATCTCCAAGATTAGAGATTTCACAGTCTTTCTGAATAACCTGTTCCAGGATTTCACTACTCCTAGAGTGAATTCTTTTTTAATATCCAGACACAAATTTCCCTTGTTGCAGCTTGTGGCCACTAATCTTTCCCCCTCTGTGCACTTTGGGGCAGAAACTGAGTCAAGCTCTGAAACAGCTGAACGCTGCAGTCAGATCCCCTGCAGCTTCCACTTCTCCCGGATAACAAACCAAGCTCCATCTACCCACCCTCCTACATCATGTGCTGCTGCCCCAGACCATGTTGGGGGCCTTCCTCTCTGGGCTCCCTTCAATTTGTTAATATCTTTCTTGCACAGGATCAGGTTGTAACACCTACTCTGAGGAATTCTTATGGTTTTTTACAGCAGCTTATGTAGCTCTTAGTGAATCCTCATTTTCCATCAGTAAATGCCTTAATCTCTTTTCTTCAACTCCCCTTCCCTGCCCATCCGCCCCAGCAGTTACAGTATGTGCTGTTAGCAGCTAAATGCTGTCAGGAGGGAGATGGAGGAGCACTGGTGACTCAGAAGACATTCAACTTCCAACAGGCCTGGAATACTGAATGTGACTGAGTTCAAAGAGCTAGCAGGAAGGGATTCCAGCTGGAGAGGCAAGAGCTTGAAGCCAAAACTGGAAGAGGCTGGATGTAGCCTGTAAATTGGGACCTAATCATCATATAGATATGATTAAGAAATTACCACATTCTTCTTCTGATTCAATCAAAATAACCAAATTTAATTAATTAATTTATTGGATTAGAAAGACATAGAGGAGTGGCAAAATCAATGCAATACTAAAATCAGGGGGGAAATTCAGACCTAGCTTAGCAGAAAAATCTTGGCTATCATATGAGGTTTGCATGTAAGCTTTCAACTATAACTAATTATTACATGCGAGAGAGTTCTTGTGCTTACACAACATCTTATCTGTGGTACATTTTTCTCACAATCTCCCTTGAATAAACGGATCAGGAAAGAGTTGGAAACATTTCTCGCCAGCTATTTGTTTCTTTAATGTATATCAAAGACAGGCTGATAGCATACAGCAATACAAGAGTCATTATGCCCTGTTTCAGGAATTCTTTTTGATTCCTTTTTATCGTTATTATTACTTAAACTAATGAAATGTCTCATCTCTTTTTTGTGCACAATCTTCGAGGGGAAAGGACAAGACTAAAGACTCATGTACAACTTTGATCTGCTTGTTTTCATGTTTGCTTTCTCTGATCCATCTTAAATAGAAAAGTTCATGATTTAAATAGAAAGGAGAAATATTTAGCTTTTGAAAAAATGGGAATATCCTAAAGTCATTCTTTCAAAAGATTCCTCTATTTGAATGAAATTAATGCTATCACTAATCAATCAATGCCCCTAAGAGCTAAGAGGCATTACAACACTTTAGGGGTTTAAAACAAGGCATAGAGATTGGTAATCATAGATCCCACAATCTCCTTAGCGAGTTACAACACTTTAGGGGTTTAAAACAAGACATAGAGATTAATCTCCTTAGCGAAGCCGTGACATTCAGTATTGGACCAGAAAGAGTTAACGGTATCAGATACAATAGTCTTGTGGAGATGGTGATACAAGTTAAAAACAAAAGACAGTAGTGTGGAAAACACCATTTGTCACTTCCTGAGGAAATGAAAGACTGTTGATGTTGTGTAAGAGAAATAATAAGTAAGTGCTTATGTCTTAACGGTCATCGAGATGACTGCTGTTGGCTTCAGCTATCCTGCAAGGTTTATGTCTGGGTTTTAAGTTACTGGGGCATCCTGGGAAGTGATCCCAGCGTGAGAGCGCAAGGAGGGCCAGCTGCTCCCCGCGGGCTGGGAGCTGGGAGCACGATGCCCACGCTGCTGCCTCCGGGGCTGCCTCTGCGCACAGGGAGGCAGAGCTGCGCCTGCTGGCAACCAGCTTACCAGCGGGCCCTAGGAGGATGGGCCTGGCACAGGTTAACAGAGGTAAGTGTAGGTTAAGCCCCTGTTTTATAAGCGTGGGATTTTAAAACATTTAGATGTCAAAACAAGTTTAACTAAACTCTCTTTTTAACTAAATTCTAATAAATAAGTCACAGTTTTTAGCACTTACAGAGCAAGGCAGCCAGTTCACACAGTTGGATTTTATTGCACTCCAAGGTAGGAACCGATAGCACTTTCTCTAAATTGGCCAGCTGGCTCCCTCTCCATCTGAAGCTCTGTTTATCCAAACATTTCAACTTTACCCCTCAGATAAAGTTTATCTGGAGTACATCAAATACAAACGAAAGGAAACATCTCTCCTAAAAGCCTGCCAGCAACGAAGGCACTTAAAAACACACGCGTGGCTTTCCAGAAGGGAGCACAGTACCTTCATGCAGACAGACACACGTGCAGGGGATACTGGCAGAAGCTTCTGAATACAATGACAAAAACAGTGTTCTAAATTGTATGCCAGCAAAGCAACATGAACCATTTCTCTTGCACACTATCTCAGGATAGTAACATATATCCAGCATAGTAACAGATAACTTTGTGATTCCATCCCTGCACTACATGCAAAAAAAGTATCAACAAAAAAACAAGCAGAACTTTAGGGGAAACAGAGAAAACCCTCTTGGAAAGAGCAAAGCGAGTTCTTTTGACAGCCACCTACATATCTAAATTGTATATATTCCATAGCCAAGACTAAAAAAAATAAACATGAACACAGCTAGTCAAGCTTTGTCCACACATATCACTAACATTTCTCAAAAGTAAGAAATAATAAACAGATTAGAACAAATATCAGGCAAACCAAGGTGAAGCAAGTACATAAAGAAATTAGAGTTAGCTCCATAATGTTATCAAGGCAAAAAAATAACGATAAATAATTTATTTTGAGCTCTGTTCTCCTATGCTGCTTGCGAACAAAACTAACATTAAGAGCAGGGTTATTCAAATCTCTGCACAGGACAATTGCTTGTACGCACACAGGTGTCATACGAACCAGGGAAAGAAAATCTCCTTGAACAGATAAGCCTAGCACTTCTAAACTACAGCATATTACCTGAAGTGAGCTTCTTATTTTGCTGGGTTTCATGCTTGTGCATATATATTTACACTGCTAATCTGCTTGTATACTTACTGGATTGAAAGCATGTTTATGGTAGTCACCTACGTAAATTAGGCACACATGTGCTTCTGCAGACAGAACACCTAAAAATCACCACAGCAAAAGTGCTGCCAGTGATGTGCTAATTCCAGCTGGGGTAGTTACATTTTTACTATTCAATATCTCATGCTATATATTTAAAAGCAAAACATATATTTTTTCTATCTATAAATACATAGTAGCTGGTGTCTAACACAGACGGTGTCTGAATTTCAGTGACGCATAAGGGATCCCTATAAACTAAATAGAGAGTGTGCAGTATTTTTCTCTACAAAAAGAAGAAAAAATAACACTCAGTTTTAACTTTTCAGGCAAGGCAACCCCTCCACAGACAGTAATTTATTAAGGGCACAGAAACATCTCTGTGTGTTTTTTTTCCTGCAATAAAATGATTATTTATCTTCTCAGTTGTCACACTCCAAGAGAGTTTTCTAGTGCACCATTAGAATGAAATGTAGAAGCCCCACCTTCCAAATACTGCTGATGCTAAGATAGTTGCATTCAGACAAGAGAAGATTAAATTTATTGTCATTACTGGTATTAATCACAGCTAAACTACCATAAAGATGCACAATGCATGTTTACAGATCCAGGAGACATCAGCATTATGATCCACTGCAAAACTTCCCAGCCCCACCCAATGCAGTTGGGTGTTGTGCAGTGATACTGGTTTCCTGTCTCTTTCCTGTCTCTTTCAGAGGTTTTGGACAAAGTGTTGAAAAAGAAGCTTTAATAATACTGTCCAGCATTACAGTAGTTACATATTCAGGGATCACTGTCAAATATACAGGGGCAACTATTCCCCTTTCAAACTCAAAACCCTTCAAGATAAGCTTTAAAATGAAAACATTTCCTGCACTTTTCTTTCTCCTTTCACTTACATTGAATCCTTGCTTTGCACACATATGTTCACTTTCCTCACACCTCACTGTTTTGTAGTCATCATTTAGATCTTAAAGTCATTCATTTGTATACATTTCTGTATCAGTTCGCTATATGTACTATGGGAATCTTTTTGCTAAGAAACATTATCATCTTTCTGGTTATTTTTTGTGTGTTTTGCATAGGGAAATAAAGCCATATGCACTACATATTATATTTACTCTTTTCCTTTTTTTTTTTCCCCCCCGCCACGAATATCATCTACCTTGCCAAGAAGTCTTGCTTTTCTCAGATACTGGCATTTCTAGATCTCCAGTCTTTTCACTCTTATTTTCTTTCTCGACACACATACATATTTTCCCCAAAAGTTACTTTAGAACTAATTTCGATCTGAGTCCTGTGGAGATTATTTCAGACAGACAGACATCCACTGGAGCACTGCTCACCTGATTCCTGTCTCTGGCATTTGCATAGCGGAATCGCTGGATATAATAGAAAACCAGCCACGCCAGGGAGATGATCATCAGCACAATGAAGGAGATGGAGACGAACACCACGGAGGTCCGGCTCACGTACTTCTGCAGGTTGCGCGTCCCGATCGTTATGTACATCATCACAGTGATGTTCCTCTCCAGGAGGCTCACTATCTCTTTCCCTTTGGGTTCAGGGATCATTATTGCTACAACATCTTCTAGACCTGTGATACAGGAGGGAGAAAAAAAATAAAGTAAAAATGGTGACTGCCACATAAGATAATGGCAAGAATACATGGTGTAGCAAAAAAGGCACTCCTTTTTTTCTGTTGATTTTCATCAAGAGGTAAGTCTGATGAATTTGTTGATGCTAGAACCATTTATACACTAATCTTATACACTTATGTCTTCTGTACACTAATACTGGTGAGATAAGTAAAACATGTTTCCTGGATTGACATAAACATAGTTTTCCTGTACTGTTGAGACGTATCTAGAAGTTATTGATGTAGTCCCTGCAGAAATGCAGAGATGCCACAGACAGCTGTGACAGACTGTGACACACTGTTTCTCCTCATAGGAGGAATTGGCTGCAAAGCTGGGACCTGAACTCTTCTCTCTCAAGGCTTGGAGTAGAACTGGGAATTGCACCATTCTTCCCGTCGTCAGACTTTGCATCATAACATTTCCCTGATTTTGAACAAGCCAATGAAGTGCTGAAAATCACTGATTTGACCAGGTCAAAAGAATTTTAGTTATCTGTAGCTTAACCTATTGATACTTTCCTATTAAGTATGAACCAATTTAATCTATTTCCCTTCTGCTTTAGTCCAATAAGAGCCCACCCTGAGCAGCCAAAATACATCTACCATTGCAACACTTCTGCAACCTGTTTATTCCACGCTAATTCAAACATTACCCTAACAGTCCAGGGAGAGTTTGCCAAGTCTCAAAGCAGCTGGGAAAGGCAATGATCACGCACCATACCAATAATATTCCTGCAGTCAATAAGACAAGTGGTGTGGAGCACTGCTTCTGTTTTCCAACTGTTCACATGCTTTACTTGATTCTTTTTCCAATTGTAAGAAAAATAAAAAACTTAGAATTCTCTCTAAGCAAGAAAACTTCATCAACCACTTCACCCACTGCCAAAAAGAACTCAAAGGGAAAAATCCCACAGCACAAAAATATTGAGATGAATTTCATCAACTCTGCTCAAAGAACTATCATTCTGACCCACTCGCGCTTGTCCAGTATGGATATCCAGGAGAATCTCTAATATTATCTGGAACATCACAGTAATGATATAGCCTGAAACCTATACAAATGGGACAGAGATTTAAAAAAATACAGTGGAAAAATATATATGTTATTTGTTTAATTATGCTACTATTCAACTAAATATAGCTTAGTATATATTTTGAGCAACTCTGTATAATGGACACAGGCCAAATATGACATGTTGTAAACTGTGAATCATATTTATTTTTGTAATTAATATTTATATAATAATAAACTAAGGATTCTTAACACCTACTCCTTGGCACCTCACAAGAACGCCCAATCTTGTTTGTATTTCTCTACTAAAGGAATGAGAAAGAGGGAGAAAAGAACTTGCGATGTCCTGCTTAAGACTATCCTCATCCCTGTTTTTCCTCACCTGCACGTTGTGATTGAGCTCAGCACAACTATGTGTCTGCAGCTCTTGGGTGGCTGCCTAAGGGGCTCGAAGGGGACCGCAGCCAAACACGTGTCCCTTCTCTGTTCTGGCCTCTGCGGCTCTCGCTGGCAGCATGTTCTGCTGCAACCTTTGACCAGGAGCCTTTTAAGATACTTTGTAAATGACAAGATACTAAAATAAATACTTTGCTGTGTAAATATGCTAAATACAATTGTGTTTAGAAAGGCAAATGAAGACTGAGCAATTGCAAGTGGAAAACAGTGCCTTCTATTTACGTAAATACTTAATATATGCCAATTGCAAGCTAATTACCATTTTTAATGAAGCATTCTTGGAAAAAAGTTGGCAACAAATATTAATGAGAATTTTCTTTTTTAAGCTTCTTTCAGTTTACTATCATTTCTCCAACATGCTACAATGAATCTTACTTAAGCAATCACCAGGCTAAGGTTTTAACATCAAATATGCTAATATTAGCAAGGAAAAAGAAAAAGTGAGAAATTAATTTACTCCCCTTTCCTCTTTTATATAAAAAATGCCTATGTTTCCTCTGTTGCAGTATCTGGTAATACATGGAGAGTATCAAAACATAGGAAAGCTACACAAACCAAAAAAAAAAAAAAAGCAACTAGACCTAAACATTGAGAGTCCTATATCTAAGTATATATTTGTTTCAACAGGCCAAAAAATATCTGTTAACGTGTACAGATACCTCCCTTGTGAGTTAAGCGCATACGATGTCTCTCAGTACATACACCCACAATGGTAACTACACTTTGTGGTAGCCCGTTACCTAACACATTCCTTTTCTTTTTCTGGCCAAGATTAATGTAGAGTATGACATGATTTTTTAAGCAGTTGTCAGGATGAATCAGAGATTCATAAATCAAAGGTATGCAAGCTGCAGTGAACGGATTTTCTTCTTCTTTGGCTTAGAAAACACTTAACACATCAACGATCTCTCCTTATGTACCAATAACAAAACAGCAAGGTAGAATTTGCAGGCATTTGGGATGACTTAAGCCATTTTAATTGCTGAAGCATTAAAATATTCCTGGCTGGAGCACAGCTCCGTGCTGCGCTGCCGATCTTTGGCAGGATGCACAGCAGTATTTTATGCCCTGGCATTGCATTGGTGCGCATTCAGGAGGCCTGTGCCACGCTGGCTTGGCAGTAGCGATGCTGAAAAGCTGCCCAGTGGCTCAGGCTGTTTTCTGACTGCAGGGTCAAGCAGGCAACCCAGGGGCTAGTGTCAAAGCAGCCCTACCAAGCTGTGGCTGCTTTGTTTACCTCCAAGGAGTTGCTCTGGAACAAATACACCTTAGTGCAGTGAATCACCCGGGCACGATACCTTCCACTGTGCATCGCACATCTCTTCCTCACCGTGAGCTGCACAAGGAGCCCCATTTTGTCCTGACTAAACGCAGGAGGAAGTGTGGAGTCAGGAGAGATGCTCGGCCTGCAGGTCTCTCCAGCTCTCTTCTGCCACCTGTACATGGCAGTGGAAGACAGAGCTGAGAAGTAGCAATGAAGTCGGAGAGAGTATTTTCAATAGCAACATGCACTATTGAAGGTAAATGCTTGACCTCCCCCCTCTATGATCTCCAAATCTTCCTCCACTGTTCAGTTCTTGGCTGTGAAAATACACTTCAGCTTGGAAGCTTGGTATGGCGAGCAGTAAACTTTTTCCAGTTTAACGATTTTTATGCCTGGGATAAGGGATAAGAAGGACTTCAGTTCTATAACAGTGGCTTTTATTACTCAAGTGAATGAGCAGATGTTACCTTCTTTAGAAAAGAAAAAAAATGGGGCGGGGGGCACTGAAAAACTGAAGTCAGAAGGAAAAAGGTATTTTTCCACCCTGACCACAGGCTGAGCCTGCTCTGGTTGCTTCAAGGATAATACTGAAGATGGTCCCTTACTTTATGAATTAGCAGTCAGGCCCTGTCATAGCAGGCTGCTGCTTCAATGCTTTGTTGATTTTTGATTGAGGCTCTAAAAGGTGATGTGTTCCTCGCACATTTTAGAAGGCAAGATTTAATTCTTGCTGCTTGGCAACAGCTAGGATTCAGTTCGAGAAATAATTAATTGAATTATCTGAGTAGAATTCCAATTTGGGAGATATACAGACTTCCTATCAAGTTATAAGGACGGATTTTTCTTATGTCGTAAATTAAAATCAGGCACTAGAGTATTTCCCTCCTGTATTTAAGCATGCCACGTGACAAGCTTCAGCAGCATTTTGGAGTTCAGAAGTTGCCCTGATGAAACTAGACAGCGTCCAGTCGAGTTTTTTCCTTTTTTTTTTTTTTTTTTGCTGGAAGCCAAGAACAGAAGCTTCACAGAACGGTGCCACAGAACTTCACCAATTAGCCCTTCACCTCTTGAAGGGTCAATTTCAATTTCAGGAAGCAGTCTTGGTAACTCCCGTCTCTTGGAGAAAAGAGCAGCCCGTGGAACGCAGGAGGCCGGAGAGCTGCACGAGGCCAAGCCTGGCGCCCGCAGCCACCGCTGCTGCGCGCCTCTGCGCCCGGGGGTTACGGCACGGCCTCCAATGCGCGCAGCCTTCATGGCCAAACGGGAGCACAGCGTGGACATTATGCTTTAAAGAACGGAATCTGCTTTCTTTCTCCAAACAGTAACTCAGCAGAAAAATCTGCAGTGAAGAAGAAAGGACTCTGTGGTGATAGTGCTGTAGTTGTCCAAGGATATAGGTAGGAATGGCTTGCTGGACTGTGAAAAGATGCTACCTCTTCCTCTTTCTTCTCTTTGAAGATACTGCTCCTCTATAATTGCTGGGCTTCTTTACTATTTACTTCTTTACCACTTTACTACATAATTTACTATTAAGTTATGAGGGCAATAGTATAAAGTTTCATCAGGTGGCATTTCAATTGAATTTTAATACTATGCAAATTGTTTTGTTGCATCATTTGCACAGTTGCAACAAGGGTAAAAGGTCTTTAAGACCAACCAAAAAGAGTTCAGTCCTAGTTGTTCTGCTAAACGAAATACTTGCAATTTCTGATACTATCAAAATCGGCTAGAACATCAGATGAAGACTGTTCTTTAAGTTTACCCTTTACAAATAAACATACGCTTAAGCTACAACTTTGTGAAAAGAAAAAGTATTTTTGCCAAAGTATTATTTTGCAACCACTGATTTTTTGAGCTTTTCCTATTCCAGAGAAGCAGTAGCATAATATCATTTAAAGATATTTAAACGGCCTGGAGACTGCGTCAGCCAGCTGTGAAGTTGTATGTAAGAAACCAAACGGGGCAAGATGACTGCTCCCTGCTGCAATCATTCTTTACAGGTTGCGTACTGCATTGATCTTGAATGATCTTAAATCTTAAATTAATCTGCAAATGAGACTATAGAGCAAACCGGCAAAGACGACAGCAATATATAACAAGTAACAGTAATACATAGGCAATACATCATATATCATAGGTAAAATGACTATGAACTGTGATCTGCAGCCTCCTGCATAAGAAATGTCACAGTGCCAGAGGACAAGAAAGGACACCAATTTCTAATGA